TGACAACGTCTCACTTCATATGTAGAAATGTAGAATTCAGATACAAAGGAAGGAAGTACAACCAAGACTTCATAATTCTCCCCTTAGCCAAACTAAACCTAATATTGGGAATGGACTGGCTGGCCAAACAGCGCGTAGTAATTGATTGTAGCAGCCGAAGTCTAATAGTCGGCGGAGGAAGGATGGAGACCCCACTCCCCAGTACTTCACCGGTCGAATCAAGAGATTGTACTTCCATGCTAATAGCTGGCCTGGTAGGTGCAAGCGAGACGCCGCTGATGAACATCCCCGTGGTCAAAGAATTCGAGGATGTGTTTCCTGACGACATTACCACCTTTCCCCCTGAAAGGGAAGTGGAGTTCTCTATTGAACTTATGCCTGGGACTGGGCCAATCTCAATTGCACCCTACCGCATGTCTCCTCTTGAATTGGTAGAATTGAAGAAGCAGCTAGAAGACTTTTGGTATTGATGGTGCTTATTAATACCTCATGTCCCCCTGATATGATTTAGAAGGTTTTCATCATCATATTACCTGCAGATGCCCCTATTTTTTATTTCCACGTGGACATTCTTTTAAATTACTATTGGTATTTATGGTGCTTATTAAGACCTCGAACCTTTTCTTCTGAGTTGATGCACAATACAATTGTATTAATACCATGAACTTCCTTTTTGGCATCAGAAACGTAGAGTTGCTATTGAATTTGGTTCACATAATCTTCTAAACCAGAAGATTATGCATTTTATAAGATTTGTAGTTTCACATTCTTGATGCATATTGGTCTTATAAGTCTCAACATCCCTTTTCAGGTATTGTTTAGATGGGCCTGTGGATTATACTGGTGAAGTTACTTGGTTCTGTGAGGATTGTGAAGCAAAGGTAGTAGACACATCTTCTCATGATCAAAGTAAAGCCAGAATAGAGGTAACAAATTGCATGAAGAAAGTGAGGAAAAACAAGCAACAACAAAATGCTAATTCTACTGAGGGGCATGTCACTGTTGCTGAACCATAGCCTATTGTTGATCCAGTGTGGAGGTAAGAAATTTATTTTTGTTACCTTCTTTTGGAGTTGGTGAAATTTCTAGCTTCTATGGTGAATCATTGTCTAAAGTTGAATTTTATGGCCAATAGGGGAAGCTTGTACTTCTGCGACCAAAGTATTGATACTTTCAGTGGAGTGCTGGCCCATTTGTCCAATTTAGCATGCCCTCAAGTTCAAGAGGAAGCAAGACTTCTCCCTGAGGTGCTTCGTGTGGACTTGCTTGATAGATATGATGTATGGCCAAATTATTTCAAGGAAAGTGGACCAAATGAGGAGAGCATTGCTCTTTATTTCTTTCCTGAGAATGAAAGGTGATTTTTCTGACAAACTATCATGTTCTTAGAGCTGTTTGGATATAATTTTTTTCTACAAGAAGCTCCTTTTTCTCAAAATAAAAGTATTTTTAACTTTAAGTGTGTATTCAGCATACAACTTTGGAAAATAGCAAAAGTCAGAAAAAAGCTAAACTGGTGTTTTTTTTCTTTCAAAAAAACCAATATTCTTGGTGTTTAAAAAAGGGCCAAAATAGCCCATTAAAAAAAGGGTCCAAAATATATATATTTTTTATAACATAAAAATGCTTATTAGATACTGGTTCAAACACAATAGTTTTTGCTTTTGAAAGATCGTACTCTGGAGTCAAATGATCTATATATATATATATATATATTATCAAAAGGCTATTCAAACTGCCCTTACTTTGCTCTCTCTCTTTAATTTAATATTGAACATTACATGCTTCTACAGCAATGAGAGGGCCTTTGACGAGCTGGTTGATGAGATTATTTACCATGACCTTATCATAAAAGTTGTGGTTAAAAATGGAGAGCTTTTAGTTTTTCTTCTACAGTGCTCCCAATGAAACAAAGGAGTGAGTTACATTTATTCTACTTCTTTAGTGCCACATTTAAATTTCACTGTTTGTAAAATTAAATTGTGTCTTAATTTTTGATTTACATGTTGTGCAGGATTTCAAGCAAAGTATTAATTGTGAGGACTCTTCAGAGAAAAACAAACTTCTCCTAAGTCTAAAACTTGTCATAACCATAGTTCCTCTAATACTTTTTAGGCCTAGTGGTGTGGTTCTGTTTCCAATGCACGGTGGTACTCCTGTTTCCCTAGCCATTGATTTCATTAATATGTATCTATTTAGTTTTACTGAACATTTTTGAGAAAATATGGTAGCATGTTGAGAATTTTGTACTAGAGAGGATATGATCGATGGCCCTGGTTAACATTTTTGCTCCTGCATTATTTGTGATGACAAGAGAATGCCTAAGTATGTGTTTTTTTTTGTTAATGATTTTACATTTTACTTATTTTTTTGTTGATATCTTTTTATTGATGATTATAAATATATCACTTTAATTTATTTTTATCATGTTTTACAAAACTTATGAAACAAATAATTGATCCCTATTTAATAACTATGATTGATTAGTTTCATCGTCTTTTAAAAAATATTAAATATTACTATAAAAGTGCGATTTGATCCATAGCTTTAGTTGTCTTTGTCGTTAAAGTTATTGATTATTGAAACATACGGGTTTTGATTTCATAGTTTCTGGATGGCTTTGGTTAAATTTCAATACATCATAAAGATATTTGTATTTGTGGGAAGACTCAGAATTTAACTTTTAGTCTGCGTTCTTGTTAAGAGCGTTGAATGTGTATAAGAATGTGTGAGATATCACAGCTACGGTGAGAAGAAGAAATGAGAGAAAGAAGAACGAAAGAATTCAGAAATAAATGATTGAAAATTACTATTAACTCTTGCATTACAATAATGTATCGTTGTGTATATATATATATACATTAGAAGCAAAGCTGTTGTAACTAATTCTGTTTTACTGAAATAACAAACTCAGAGTAACTTAATTGATTTGGGCCTACAGCCCTTTGGGCCTCTATGGCTATCATTCTTGAGTGGCAAGACCCGAAGCTTGGATCGAAAGGTAAGAAACTGGGCTGTGGCTACGGCTTTGGTAAGCCCATCCGCTATATGCTTGAGCGCTGGCACATGGTGGACAGTGACACCTTATGAGACAACCTTCTCCCTCACAAAATGAAGGTCCAGCTCAAAATGTTTGGTGCGTGAGTGGAAGAGTGGGTCTGCTGTGAGAAGGACAGCTGACATATTGTCACAGTAGATGGTAGGTGAGGTTGGTACTTTGATGGTCAGTTCGGAGAGGAGAGACTGGATCCAAGTGAGTTCAGCAACTGTGGCGGCAAGACTCTGGTACTTAGCCTCTGTACTGGAGCGGCTAACGACATGTTGCTTCTTTGAAGACCAGGTGATGAGATTCGAGCCAAAGAAGATGCACAGACCACTGGTCGACCGACGATCATCTGGATCGGAGCCCCAGTCGGAGTCACAATATGCAGTAAGGTGGAAGTTAGGGGAAGGTTCCACTATTAAACCATAGGACACCGTGCCGCCAAGGTAACGTAAGATGCGTTTTACTGCTTTCCAGTGTGTATCTAGCGGGTTGTGCATGAACTGACACACTTTGTTGACACGGTAGGCAATGTCTAGTCTTGTGATGGTAGCATACTGAAGGGCTCCAACAATGGAGCGGTATTGAGCTGGATCTGGGTGTGGAGAGCCATCATGGGCTGAAAGTTTGGGACTAGGTGTCATAGGCGAAGGCATAGGCTTACAATCAACCATGTTTGCCTTTTTTAGGAGATCAGAGATGTACTTCGACTGGTTGAGAAGGAACCCACCAGAGTTTGTTTTATGGGCTTCAATACCTAGGAAATAGTGTAGTTGGCCAAGGTCTTTGAGGGCAAAGGCACTGTTAAGGGAGTGGATTAGGGACTTGATGGCTGGTGATGATGATCCAGTGATAAGTATATCATCCACATAAACCAGAACAAATAGAGTGGTGTTCTGATTTATGGAAATGAATAGAGAAGAATCACATTTAGCTGTTGTGAACCCAAGGTGATGAAGGGTAGTACTAAGTTTTTCAAACCAGGCACGTCGTGCCTGTTTGAGGCCATAGAGGGCTTTAGTTAGCTTACAGACAAGAGTCTTGTCATGATGAAGGAAGCCAGGTGGCTGCTGCATGAACACCTCTTCCTGAAGATCCCCATTCAGGAATGCATTCTTCACATCTAGTTGGTGAACTAGCCATCCTTTAGATAGAGCTATGGTGAGAACAACCCGAATAGTTGTTGGTTTGACAACTAGACTAAAAGTCTCTTGGTAATCAAAATCTTCCTGTTGATGAAAACCCTTAGCTACAAGCCTAGCCTTGTATTTCAGAACTGTACCATCAGGTTTGAACTTGGTTCGAAAGACCCATTTGCAACCAATGGGTAGTCTGTTAGGAGGAAGGGGCACCAGTTGCCAAGTATCATTTCTGAGAAGAGCATCATACTCTTCTTTCATAGCTTGAGCCCAATGTGGTTGTGCTAGAGCTTGAGATGCAGAATTAGGTTCCAGGGAGGCTGTAAGAGCTTTAGGCTTGAACACACCAGCTTTAACTCGTGTAGTCATATTATGACTGTTGATAAGTGGAACTGCAACCACTGGAGCTGGATGGCTGTTAGCTTCAGGAGATGTGGACCTGCAAGCATTGTTCACAGGAATAGAGGACCTGCAAGTGGAGTTAGTGGCACTAGCAGAAAAATCAGCAATAGGTACACTCAATATTGGAGAATTAGGAAGCAAATGTGGTTGATGAGGAGTGACAGTTGTAACACCCCGTGTATACCCGGTTTGTTAACATATCATAATATTAAGCTGCGCTTAATTAAAAATGCAGAATATCTTTTTCTTTTCAATTATGACGTCATTATACTTAGCCAAGTTGTTTACTTAATCAATTTCATAAAATATCGCCTGTATGTAAATTGCAAATAGACATCTGAAATACCTCCTATGTGTATGTAAATTGATATATTAATACTACTCCAAATAAAACAAGATAATAAACAAGTCAGGGACATGTGAGCATCAGTTCAAAATTCCATACTCTAGCTAATAGTCACAGTAGGTCTCACCACCAAACACATACCTTGCGTGCCCAAATACAATTCAAACCACACCAGAATAGTCCACATTCTTAGAGGTTTATGCGCACCTAGTATACCATTTCACCAAGTCAGAATTTTACATAATTTTTCCTACAATTCACAAATAGTTCCTATGCTTTCAATCCTTGTACCTTAATTAAATTATGAGGTCACTATGATAATTATTTTTCTGCCCTTAAAGCTATTCCTCCCATTGCTAGCAAATAAAATTTCCTAAGGTCTCATACATGTATGAGTTCAGCTTTCAGCATGACAAAATGTTCAGGATTTTATTTACGTACTCATTCCACTAATTTCTAATCAAATCAGGATTTCCAGCGTTCACCACACACACACACACACAAAGATTCGGTTTTACCATGCATTTTCCTAAAACAAATTTTTGGCTTCATATTTAATTAACAACTAGTTAACAGCAAAGTAATTCAAAGCTTCCAACATATTCAGATTGGTTTTAAGCCAGGGTTTAAGTGCACAAAATTTTATATCAATAAGACACTACCCATTTTGCTTAGACTAGAACAATTAAGTTTTTAGCATACTAATTTCGTCTCTTTTTATTCACTAACCAACAGAAGAAATCCAAGGTTTCAGAAACATCCATAATCAGTTTTCATCCAAATTTAATATGTTTTAGAGTATTCATTTATCTGACCATCACTTCTAGACCAAAGGTGCGCTGATGGGGAGACCAAGGCATACTGTTAATTTAATTTAATTTCCTATAGAGTTTGATACAACAAATACATTCCAACACTAGATAACTTATTCACATGTAACAAAGCAACACTTAAAGAGGAGGCTTTATTTCAAGCTTTCAACCGGTTCTATCATGGCAGAATCAAAGGTATGAAATTGACAAAAACGACACTCTCTTATCAAGCATGTGAGGTCCAACCCGAAAGGTACAGGAGTATGAGTGCTACAAAACCTTAATCCCCTAAAGTGCACCTACAAACCGAAGCAGAAAGTGGGGGAGGAACTAAGTGTTCAACCATTACCTCTTAGCGGTACACACACTAGCCAAATCGATTAGGAGACAGCAACCTCTCCCCTCCAAGAGCTCCAAAAATTGAGTTCCATGCACCTCCTTAAGATAGATTCTAAACCAAACAAGGCAAAGAGGAGAATGAGTTTATACTAAAATCTGCAAATCTGAGGAAGTTCCACAACAATCGAAGAGAGGATTGGAAGAACAAGACAAGGGAAAAACGCCACACCTCCTTGCTGCGGGTTGTTTCGGCTGGACAAGAAGAAGGATGAGTGGATGTGAACTTAAACTCGGTTATGCATGCAGGGGAAGTCCTCATCAAATCGAACCAAGACATGCGCACACCAAGAAGAACTTGGTCAGAACCTACTATGGAAGAAAAGGCAGTAACAACGATGAACTCTCCATTTCTTTGCTGATGAACGCACGGCTGGAAGGGGAAGGGAATAACAATGGAACGGTAATCCCCCCTTCCTAGGAACGCCACGGACCTGGTGGAAATGATGAAACACAATGAACTGTCAGGCAATCTGTACCATGGTTGATTTGGTCGAAGGTGTGGAGCGGGTGCAGTTCAGTTTAGGTGTGCTTGCTGCTTTAGGAATGAGAGGGAGTGGGTGTTCTGGTTCGGTTTTTTTACAGTGAGGTGCCAAGAGGGAAGAGAGACTCGAAGATTAATTATCAATCTGAATTAACAGACTATATACCTCAGCCTATGCCCCTCTGATTAGCGCTCTTAGAGTGAAATGGTTAGGATGAGAGGGTAGTTTCCAACCAATGAGAAGTCATGCAAAAAGAGTGGGCCAATGAGGAGCATGCTTCCAGATTTCTTTAGGATAGCAAAGTGGATGGTTTATAAATTTTAGCAAGGACCTAATTCTGAACCAAGTACAGGGCAATACAAAAAGT